TAAAGCCGTGGAGCCTTCATTGTGGGAAAAAGCTCAAACTCAGCCGTCCCTGTGCCCCAAACCCTACAGAAGACTTGCATAGACCTGAAAAACAAGGGGTTACTATAGAGGCCTGAATAATTACCTATACTATTGCAGGTTCCTTATTGTAATTTTAGCAACGTGTACATACACATTCTTTGAGGATGCACACGTCGTCCTTCGTATCGCTCCTCGTCGACAGGCTTTCGCCCGCAGCCACCCCCGAACCCTATTCTAATTACTAAGGCCTTTCAGGGTTCCTTATTTATAATGGTTTCTACATATTCCTTAAAGAAAATTAGGCCTTTAGGGCCACAGGTAGGGTTTAGGATGTAGGGTAGTTGTAGCCACTCCATGCTCTTAAGTGGCAATCACCACGCTGTGGCCCTGCTGATTGTTGTCAGGGTATCCGACCCGAACCCTAAACCTCAAACCCTACTTGGAGGTTCATGGGAAGTTATAAGTGGGGTTATAAGTAGGGTAACTAATCACCCATACATTACGGGACTTATACCCTTACTTATAACTACGCATGAACCTCCAAGTAAACTCTGAACCTGATATCACGAAAAGCGAGGTTCATGAGCTCTGCGGACGCTGGCAGCTGAGCAGCGGCGAGGTTTTCGTCATCAGCAAGTTAGCTGGTGCAGCATCTTGGATCTTACCCTAAAAGTCCTTAGTATGTACTTAGGGCCCAATGTGCCTATATAGGGACTACTTTAAGGGATCTTAGGGTTTAGATTCATTTTGAGTTTAGGGGTTTGTGTGGTTTAGTGTTAGGATCTCGAGGGTTTAGTTTCATTTAGGGTTTTAAGTTTAGGGTCTAGGGTTTGGGGATCCTTAGGGTTTAGTTTCTTTTAGGGTTTTGAGTTTAGGGTTTGGGGCTTAAGATCTCCCGGCTAGAGTGTATGTGTTTAGGGTGCCCGGTTCCGGCTTCTGGTGCTCAGGGTTCTAAGTCTTCTTACCCAGAGGGCCCATATACACTGCGAGATTAGGTCCTCAAAACCATAATAGGCATGGTCTTTTGGGACCTAATTCCATAAGAGTAGTGTATGTGGACCCTTGGGATGAATAAGGATTTAGCGAGCAGAGATTCCTACAACTACGGCTGCCGATTCCTATCCGCGGCAAACCACGAAAGGGCAAACCACTAAAGAGAGAGCTGTGAAATGCCTTCGGTTTCCCTTAGTGGGTCATTCGCAACTTTCTCGTCACAGTTACTGCAAGCTTAACTAAAGGGATCATTCTCAGCTTTCTCGTCATAGTTACCGTTGACTACAGGGTTCAGGATTTACTACTATAGGGGCTTAAATAATTACCTACAATACTAGTTGGTGGTTTCCTTTTTTAATCAGTTTTTATGAGTATAGTATAAGATTCACCAAAACCCTATTCTAACTATTAAGGCCCTATATTAGATCCTTGTAATAGCGCTTATAGTAACCTTTACAAGGAACCCTTTTCTACTTACGAAGGCCCCTAGTGGTGGCCCAGGAGCATCTTCTCCTCACTGTCCTGGTCGGGGACGCCACTGCCGCAACCGGCCTGCTCTCTCAGACAGGGGCGGACTTGCGATGCGAGCCCCGGACAGCGATTCCCAGAGGCTCCAATGTCCAAGGGGCCCCTGAATTAAGGAATGTACCTTAAATCTTACTTGGGTTCCGAATAGATCCCATCAAGGAACCCTGGAATTTCAGGAAGATACCTTAAAGCATATTAGGGTTCCTATGATGGTTTAAGGTATATTCCCTAACGGGTTTTGAAACCTTTGGGTTGAGGTTCCAGGTTTAGCGGTGTCGCGTGTCATGGGCTTAGGGACACGATTGCGTCCTCTCTTCGGGGATGTTGATTTTTTTCAGCTGATGCCTGGATCTGAAGCCAGTGTTCCAGGTAGGCTAGACCTGGGATTTAGATCTTGGATGTGTGCCTGTGAGCGCAAGCTGATGAACTATGCTGCCTGCAGGCTTTCATCCATCCTGCTCAAAAAAACCTCGGAAACTTAACCCCTCAACCTATAATTCGTCCTCAAAAAAAAACTTAAAGCGGGAACCTGGCCCTCAACCCTGGGTCCCCAATGCCTGAGGAACTCTTCCGTCCGGACAACGGCGAGTTTGGCGAAGCCTGGTTGAGCTACAACTCTCAGTCGCGGAAGATACTTGCTTCCTTGAGGCGCGCTGCTAAGCCCTGCAGTAGAACCCTTAATGGGGACCCCTACCCTAGAATGGGCTATATAACGGGAATATAATAGCTATATTCAGGGTATATACCCAGGGGTCCTTATTAAGGGTCCCTCCTGGAGACCCTCCAAGTACACCCTAAACCGCAACCCCCAAGGCCCAGCCCAAAACTTGGAAACCCAATAGCCTCAATCCTTAGGAGTTATGTATAGGGAATCCCAGCACTATTTGGCCTTCATCCGGTTTCCAACTTTATGGGGTTTACTGTAGGCCGAAATAGAGCCCTAAACTATAGCACCTGCCCAAACCCTAAACCATGAAGCTGGTAATTACAACCCCCGACACCGATGCTTGTTTCGTTGAGGCTGGCTACATCAGCCGACTTCGGCAAAGTCTTAACGGCTTCGAAGCTTCCTGAAACTGGTGTTTCCTATGCTCCTCACGGAGGGGCTTCTGCCCAGGCGTCTGCGGTCTCCGTACCCAGACGTACGGGTGATGGTAGATAGTATAGGGGCCTGGAAGAATTATAGTTGATCTACGAAAATAATATCTCTTCATACTGTATAGTTTTACCAGTACTCAAGATATTATATCACCTACAGGACCTACACCCGACACTAATGAGCAAGGCCCCTACATTTAGGTAGATAGGATGGTACATAGGTTCCCGGGTGCTCCATGCAGGCATCGTGTGACCCAACCTCCAGGCAGCTCCATCCGGTAAGAGGAGAGTTCTAGCGAGCTATGGTCTCCTTAGGAGTTATTCTTCTTATTTTTGTTCATATAAGACCCAAGAGAATATTGAAAATCTTATTGTTATTATGGTTCTAAGGGGGGTTCTAAGCGAAGAATCGAGAGCAGAAGCAGCGCGAGGTGAGTTTAGGGTTGGAGGAAATCTGGAGTTATCGCATATTATACTCAGGATTATTTCACAAGGCCCGTAAAATTCCCTAAACCCTAAAACCTAAACCCTGAACCCTAAGCAAAATTAGATTTTTTGGGGATTCCGATAAAGTCTTTTTCTGAGGCTTTTCCTCAGAGCCTTGCTGCCCTGGTGCGAGCAACTCTTATCGAAGCGTTTAGGGCCTAAAGGGCTTACCTTAAACCTAACAAAACCTACATTTTTGTGGGGGGAGGGGGGGTTCCGATAAACGATAATTCCTTAAAGGGGGCTTATAATGAGAACCTACAAAACAGTAGGCTATGGTAGTTTAGGGTTTAGGTCGAAGGGTTTATAAGGTGTAGGAGATGGGGCAGCCTGGAGGGTTCCGGAGACTCCGCGTCCCTACACATGTGTTGACTTAGTCAGTAGTAGAGTAGGTGACCTTTAACCTTCTTGGGGTACTATAATCCATATATATATATATATATAACTAATCTAAACTTTGTTGCAGAAGGAAAGGGTTTGCAGTTTAATGAATGCTTAGGGCCGTTTAGGGTCTGTCACATAGAGAAGGCTAATCTTTGAGCTTGGCGGGAATGCTGGAAGCTCCGGGTACATAATTGTAACGGGAATCATGCATCACCTGCGCTTTTAAGACGTTCCCTGGCAAAGCTCCCGTGCCAGATTTTGTAGGATGCCGCTCGGGGAGCCATGTGGGAGTGGTTCTGCGCCTGGCTTCGCTGCAACAGACATCCTGAAGTTGAGAATGAGGTGAAGCATAGTATATGTATATTGGTAGAATGCGTGTGTGCGTGTGTGTGTGTGTGTGTGTGTGTGTGTGTGTGTGTCTGTGTGTGTCTGTGTGTGTGTCTGTGTGTGTCTGTGTGTGTCTGTGTGTGTGTGTGTGTGTGTTTGTGTGTGTGTGTGTGTGTGTTTGGGTGGTGTGTGTGGGTGTGTGTGTGTGCATGCATGCATGCATGCATGCATGCATGCATGCGTGTATGTATGTATGTATGGATGAACACAGTATATGCATGTACGCATGCATGCATGCATGCATGCATGCATGCATGCATGCATGTATGTATGTATGTATGTATGTATGTATGTATGTATGTAACACACATAGATACATACCCAAATATGCTTTAACAAAGGGTTATGCGTGTGTGTGTATATATATATATACATGTATGTGTATACATCTGTATGTCCATATGTACATTTATTGTCTACTTACATCGTTACAAGTAATTTTGGTTGTGTGTTCATACTGGTACTTGTCTCGAAGGAGCCTGCTCTGCAGAACAATCCCCAACCACGCCCCCGAGCCTGATGGTATCGAGTTATGAAGCAAGGAGAGCATCAACCGCGGATGGAGAAAACAGCTAGTGCCCAATGCCCAGAACTAACTGCCAGGGTATATAGGGTTAGTTATCGGGTTTACCATTCCGGATTGAGAATCTAACTCCAAATCACGCAGCTCGTCTTCGAATAGCCCAGTACAGCTTTGTGAAGGACTACTTTCATTCCGCGCGGAATCAGCGGCCGCGCTCTGCCAAACCCGTCAAACCCAAAACTAGCCGCACAAGCCGTGTAAAAACCTATGACCCACCTATGAAACCTATGAAAGCATGAAAGGGGCTGGCTGCATGCTCCATGCACAGCTTTGAGATGTGGTACCGACATTGCCTCATCGGCTAATGTAGGCCATGTGCAGTCTTTCCCTACTGTACTTACTAGGATTGAACTTTGTTGCTTTGGCCTACATGTTTTGTCTTGAGAGGTCTCAAAAAGGGGTACAGTGTCTGTCAAGTTTGCCCTTACCTCAGCCTCAGCCAAATTGGCCTTCTGGATACAGCATCTCCTGCAGACGGAAGCGAGGTGTCAACAAAAAACTCCTTCCGCTGATGTCTGAGGTAAAGAAGAGGCCGAAGCCAAAGCCCTGGAGCTACAGAAGCGGCTCCGCGAGAAGAGGGCACCTGGAAGACAAGAATGGGGTTTAGGTTTAAGGGATGTTAAGGGTTCAGACTTCAGGGTTGTACTTACAGGACGTTATGGTGTGTTTCTTCCTTTCTGGTGTTTTCTCAGGGTGTTTCTATAGGAGTTCATAGTTGTTTTGGATGGTGCTCTATGGGCTTTTCGTAGGATTCCAGAAGGGTTGTAAACGTGTGTGTGGGTTCAGGGCTTTGCTGACTTCTTGACCGTAAGGGCTGTGGAACGTTTTTTGGGGCTCCTGGCTTTGTAGAGTCTTTGCGGATTTAGGCATTAGCGGCTACAGGATTTGGTTGAAAGCTTTTAGATTGTAGCGTTAGCAGTTTGAGTTGTTGTTCTGAAGTATCGATTGAGGAGGCTTAGCCGCCTTGCCTTTATTTTCACTTGGAAATCGGTTTAGAGCTTGGGGCCCAGTGCTCCATGCACCTGCTTTGCAAAAGTGGGCTCTTGTTGATGTGAAGTAAATGTATGTTCTTGCTACTAGTAGTTATTCCCATACCAGATAATACCCACAATGAGCGCTTACTCACCATACCCAAGGAGGCCTAGACGCCCTTCAAATGGGTTTGTTCATGCTTCAGACTTGGCATAGGATTCTCAATAGTCCGAAGCTGTGCTGCCCCCAAACCTGTCAAAGATGTGCAGGTTTAAGGTTTGGGCTTTCAGGTTTAGGGTGTAAGGTTTAGGCTTGAACGAAGTTTCGGGTCCATCGACACCTTATATGAAGCCCGGCATTCTCCGTACCACGAACCCTCAACTATCCCAACTGTTGGGCCCAAAACGCCGAGCACTTAACCCTAATATAGGAGCCTTAATAAGAACAGGGTTTAAGGGTATACAAGAATACAGGTACTATTATAACTATAAGGCACCCTAAACTAAACTAAACCCTCAGCCCTAAGACATGATATCGGCATATCATGGCATTCTATATTATGCACCACCTGAGCTTTCGAACCTCAGAACGAAATGGTGCTAACACACAACTTGTCAAGGCAGAAGAAGAAAGAAAGTCCGAGAAAGAGAAGGCCCGTTGGGATACTTAGGGTTAAAGGGGTTTAGGACTTGGGGCTTTGGGGTTAGGGCATTCGGGCTTGGGGTCGAGGGTTTGGTTGCCGTATAGAGGGCTTTAGGGTTAGGGTTCGTATGCAAACTGAACGCCTAGCAAGATTGATGGGGCTGCCCCTTGCATCTCGGACTTTTTGTTTTACGGAATACGGTTTAGAATTCACCCCAGCTGAACCTGACATGCCACCACCACTCTCAAACACTAAACCCAAACCCGACCGCCCTGAACACAGATCCATTGTAGAACCCCTATAGAGCCAATCAACAAATCCCCACACACACACACACCACGGCCCTAGATTCTAAGCCAGATCCCCTAAAGCCTAAACCCCAATAAAATGTCAGGAGCAGCAGCGGAAGGAAAGCACGAAGATGATGGTCGAAGCCCAGGAGAAAGCCAAGGAGGAGGACATCTTGACAGGGCTTTGGGTTTAGGGTTTACGGTTTAGGGTTTGGGTTTAGGGTTTACGGTTTAGGGTTTGGGTTTAGCTCTTATGGTTTAGGGTTTAAGGTTTAGGGTTTGTGTTTAGGGTTTAGGGTTTAGGGTTCAGGCTATGGGGTCGGAAGGATTACTGATAGTATTCCCGTGTATTCCCTTGCAGAGCCCCTGTATAGTGATCCCGAACCGCAAGAAACCCAGTTCTAAGTATCAAGGCCCCAATATTACAGGACTTACGAACAGGCTTAGCATTCTCTGGCAAAAGTTGTCAAGAACTACTGGGAGGTTAATAGGTAGTTATAGGTGGATTCATCAGCAGCTATGCCTATCACCCCACTTCTAACTACCCATGAACCTCCAAGTAGGCTCAAGAATCGCAAGCAAGCCTGAGCCACATAGACAAAACGAACCCCAGAGTGTTCAAGCTCTTCTGTTCTCCTTTTAGACTTCGGTGGGTGTGAGGTGTATACTAGGATGCCCTGTAGTAACTATAGTACCCTTGTTCCCTTTCTGTGGTCCTAGGTTCCTTATAATGTTACCCAACACCAGAAGGGAGCCCTTTTGATTCCTAGGTTACTGGGCATCCTAGTATAAGACCCGGCTATTGACTCGACCCGGACACTTGCACCCCTGCCGGCCGCCTCCAGACAACACCTTCCGGATTAGGGTATCTTAAGGTATGCTGTAGGACGCCTATAACTACGACATGAGAGTTTCCATTGGGATCTACATGACAGGAGAGTTTAACAGTTCCGGCACCCTAACTTTCGAAACTATCTGGGGTTACCGGCAGTCTCCGCTGTGATACCTAGGATCCTCGAAGGCAAGCAACAAAATCAAATCCAATGGAGCCTGTCGGCAGTGATAGTGGCACCCTAAACTGAGACTGTCTGGACTCCAGACGTATGTAGTATGTAGCATAATTGCCTGTTTATAGGGCTTGGGCCAGTATTGTACCCACTTTGGGGGATTTAGATGAACCTGAAACGGCCCTAAAACCCAGAGACTCCAATATCCCTTAATTAAGGAATATACTTTAAATCTTATTAGGGATCCTACTACAAGGGTCTTAGTTAAGGGGTATTGGAGTCTCTGGGAATACTTGGAGGGTCGGAGGACTTAGTAAGTAGGTAGTAAGTAGACCCAAAAAGGGACCCTAACTGGGGTTATGGTACTTGTAAGTCCCTAAAATAACCAGTTACTAAGTCCCCCGACCCTCCAAGTACTCTAAACCCTAAACCCTATACCCTTATAGAATCCCTATAGATCCCTTTAAAGGAGCCCTAAAGGAACCCCTTATGGTTACTAAGTCCCCTAAAGACCCTCCAAGTGAGGACCGCAGAAGGGCGATAGAACAGCAGATGCGTGAGTCATGAGCTCAGCTGCTGCGGTTTGACTTTGGGAAAAGACTGTGGGGCATGGGATTTAGGGTTTAGGGGATTTGGGGTTTAGGAAGTTTAGGGTTTAGGGGGTATATAGGGGGTTAAGGGGTTTAGGGGGTTTAGGGGTTTAGGGGGTAGGGGGTTAAGAGGTTTAGGGTTTAGGGTATTGAAGTTGCGTGAGATGGGCTTAGTAGCTTGGTAGTCGTTGAAGTTCGTCTAGGCTTTACTGGCAGGGCAGTTCCTACCGCGTAGTTTATTTTCCTTTCCTAAGGAAGGAGGAGCACGAAAAGCACCGGCAGGAGCTGAAAGAGAGGCTGAGACAGGACGGAGGGGCCACCTTCGAACATAGCTTTCCGGTACAGACTTCTTCCTGGGGGGTCTGAGAGATTTCTTCCCGGGAGAGCCACACCTGACATCATCATCTGGCAGGACTACATCGATCGATTTGGATGCGAACCCCCGGAAGAGAAGGACAGAATGCAAAGCGTACATGTCAAGAGTTTCGGAGTAGTGCCATCTTAGTCACCTGCGCAATGCTGGGCCAGAGAGAAAGGCCTGACTAGGCTCTACGGGCCGATCTTCGTGGGACCCCAACCCTTAGATGCAGGATCATTCTGTGACATGATGTTGGGCTCCGCTCGAGACAGGATGCTGCAGAGGCTTAGTTGGCAGGCGGTGGTTCTTTGCTTGACACCTGAAAGATCAGAAGAGGACTCGCGGATAAGTTATGGAACACCTATCTAGGCAGCATGAAAGGGGACTGTTTCTTCAATTTTTCAGATCCCTAGATTACCTCGCATATCCTATGTTCATGAGGGTGTTACTGAACGTTAGGGTGTACTTTGGAGTTTAGGGTTACCGCACACTGATGCAGATATTGTTTTGCCACCTTCCAGGAAGAAGAGACCGTGAAAGAGAAAAGCAGCAAGGAGAAGATGGCGCTCTTAGATATTTTCGGGATTGGGGGATCAGGGCTTAAGGACGACGACGACTACTAGTACTACTAGTACTACTGCTACTACTACTGCTGCTACTACTACTGCTACTACTACTACTACTACCACTACTACTACTACTACTACTACTACTACTACTACTACTACTACTACTACTACTACTACTACTACTACTACTACTGATATCGCTACTGCTACTGCTACTGACTCTAAACAATAGACCTTCAACCCCGCGGGACATGCACAACACACACACACACACACACACACGGGGACGGACACACGGACGCAGAGGCACTCACATGCATGCACGTTCGCACGAGTGCAAAGCAGCGCCCCAACTTGTGACGCTAGCTTGAAGCAGCTTAACTTCAATTCAGAACAGCTGGGGGGGGTTTGAAGGTTTAGGATTCAGGGTTTAGGCTTTATGGTTTAGGGTTTCAAGGTTTAGGGTTTAGGGTTTAGGGTTCAGCAGCTCCGGATCGAGCATTATCTAGTCGAGCTGTCGGTTTCGGATATAGAAAACACCCACCCGCCCAAAGAATCCCATAACATTCAGACAATACAAAGTTTCTCATCTTCCCAGAACCCCAGGGCCTTAGACCCTAAACCAAGCCCTCAACGGACTTTATACGAACCCTAAAGCAGCCTTAACGAAACCGTGAACGAAACCCAATGGAACCCTAAACGAAACCCTAAACGATTCCTAAACGAACTTTAACCGAACCCTTAATGGAACTCTAAACGGGACCCCAAACGAACCCTGCCTAAACGAACCCCCCAACGAAACCCTAAACGAATCTTTAACCGAAACCCTATGGAACTTTAAACAGAGCCCTAAACGGAACCCTAAACGGAAGCTTAAACGAAACCTTAAACGAAGCTCTAAACGGAACCCGAAACCGTATTACACGGAATTCTAAAGGAGCCCGGTCACCCAGATTTGGTCCTTGCCCGCGATGATTTCGGGCCTTGCCCGCGAAGATTTTGGCCATGCCCGCGAAGAGTTAAGGTTCCATTCAAATCTTCGCAGGCAAGGCCCAAATCTTTGCAGGCAAGGCCCGTTTTGGCGATGTTGAGCTTGCACGCGAAGATCATTAACATTTATGTTTCTACTGGATAGAGAGGTTTAGGGTTTGGGGATGTTTGCGGGGTATAGGTTTTATGTTGTTTTTATGGGTTTGTTGAAGCATGATAGGGTTAGGGGTTGAGGGGGGGCAAACATAAAACATCAACATACGTTTTTGGAGTACCTTTTATTCACCCCCCCTCCCCACCCCACCTCCCCACTCCCCGCCACAAAAGTGCTCCAGAAACCAAGTTTTAAGCATTAAAGCGACCTTAAACTCTGAACCCAAAACCCGAAGCCCAAGCTTGAGTGGAGGATCAGCTCGCCTTCCATTTGAACAAGCTGAAGAAGAGCTACAAGGAATGATGGCCCATTTCAGGCTTAGGATATATGATTAGGTTTGGCTTCGTAGCTGAGTGGATAGACTTTACACTTTTGGGGATAATTTACACTTTTGGGGATAATACTACCCACCATAAAACTGAAAGTGTGCACTTTTTGGGGCTCATGAACTCATGATCAGCAACTAAGTTGGGGGTTGTTTGGGCTTCGGGGCTTCGGTCTTAGCGATGCCGATCTACTCATGGAGGCTTCTCGAGGGGATGCTGCACTCGGTGTGTTAGATTCAGCGAGCTGGTGCTTCGGATCCGGGTGTGCAGATGTTCACGTCAAGGCTAGCCACTTAGAGACCCACAAATAGGACACACGCATAAGCGTTTCAAAGAAAATCCCCGCCTTATTGGGCTTCATTGTAATCAAAGTTTGAATGGGAGATCCCTTTCGTAATTTTTGCTGATGCGCTTTCGTGCCACCTTAGCCTTAGCCAAAAGCGGCAGCCGACCAGGACACGGACAAGGAGGGCTTGAAGACGTGCCTCAACACGCTGAAGATATATATCAAGAACCTGCACGAGAATCCTCTGGAGCTTGGGCTTGCACCGAATGAATACTGCTGATGGACAAACTCCTGCATTACCCATTATAAGGAATATACCATAGTTCCCATAGTTTAGGATTTTGTCCATCAGCAGTATGTTTAAGGCTTCGGGATTAGTGTTTACTTGAACCCTGTAAAACCTTCCGTCTTAGGGTTCCCTACTGTGATTTCTTATATAAGTCCTTGAAGAAGGATGAAGAAGGTATAGGTTGTTTGGGTCATTTTGTCTACCTGGTTTTTGGGGGGCCTTGGGTCTAGCATTTCGGGTCCGAGCAGAGAGAGTCAGAAATCCAGATTGAAGGCATCAGGGTTTACAGTGGTCTACTTGGAGGTTCAGGGTAGCTGTTCCTTTAACGGGGATTTATAGGATTTAGGGTCTAAGGGGGTTTTAAGTGGGGCTGAAAGGCTCCTAATACGGGTTAAAATTATAGTTGTAGCTACCCTACTTCTAAGCCTCACTAAAAACTCTCCATGAAGCTCCAAGCGGTGGTTTAAGATGCAAGAGATACCCTGCTTGGGGTTATATCGCGTTCAAGTCGCTGCATGTCTGCATCAGAAGGGACATAAGCCTCGAGAGCGCAGGTTAACGGGTGTATCGGGTTCAGAGGCTAAGGGTTTAAGGTTTCGACGACCAACTTTGGCAAAGCAAGGTCGGCAGCCGAACACGCTTCCGCACTAAACAGCTCCTGGCAAGGAAGCCAAATTCAAGAAGCTGAAGCTGGACAACAAGGCCTTCCGACTGATCTTGAAGACTAATGTAGGAGCCTGAGCCTTTATTCAGGTTCCCTGCTTGAATCCTAGTATTTTGGGGTTATAGGCCTAGGGTTTCTTAATCAGGTTGCTACATTACTTGACTACTGGCGTCCGGGCAGCATAGGAGGGACCCCGACCGCCCTGACCTCAGGCGTTCCAGAGCCGGATAGTTCCTTTCGATGGAGCCCTTGCCACCCGGCTGCAGCCAAGAATTAGCTTGGCGAGGTTGGGGGTTTGGTGAAATGCTGGGGAGTTGCAATGTTGACACTTGGAGGTTCATGGGTAGTTATGAGTTGAGTTATACGTAGGGTAACTCTAACTATAACCCATTTTCGGGAAGTTAGAAGTATAACCGCATTTATAACTACCCATGTAGTGTACCTCCAAGAACTAAAAGGCATGAATGCCTGCAGGATTGTAAGAGGCCAACACGGAGCCGACAAACCATACTGGCACGACGCCACCTTTATATCTTCGTGGGAGCTTTGTCATCAGCACATCAAACAGCTCGTTATGTACGTAGTTCGTACAGTGTAGCCCAACGCCCCATTCCAATGCAAACCCCCTCAAACCTAAACTGCAACCTTAAGCCCCCTGACAGTCTATCGGACACCCCTAACGAACCGGCCCTAATGTAGCCAAAGATTAAGAAATCCCTGTTTCCAGAACCCCTCTCCCCGAGGCTCCAATATCCCTTAATGAAGGAATAATATACCTGAACTCATATGGGTGGTTGTCAAAATTATGGTCCCTTTTTGGGTCCTTACTATAGTACGGCACCTATTGTTTAGGGTACCCAACAAGGGACCCATATGAGGGTTCCTATTCTAGTTTAAAGTATACTATTACTGACTTAATGGAGTTTCGATCCTCTGGGCTCAGGAACCGAGGTTCCTTTTTCGGCCTCTGACCTCTGAAGGGTGAAGGTAGGCTCAGGGTGTAGGCTTTAGGGTTCAGGGTGTGGGGTCTTAGAGTATGAGGGGTTCAGGGTACGAGGGGTTTAGGGTGTTAGAGCAGCAGGGGTTGGCTTAAGCCTCAACCCTCCCCACCGACCCTACAGTCGATTCTCATTCTTCTTGCTGCAAACAAACAAGCTGCACTCCCCGCATGCAAGGACGCGCTGGACATCCTCGGTTTCGAGAAGAAGGAGGCGGTTTGGTTCGGTTAGGGTGTACTTTTGGTGACCAAGTAGGTAACCATTAGTATCACCCATATTCATTACGGGACTTGTAACCCCGCTTAGAACTACCCATGAACCTCGAAGCAAACCCTTTATTCCAGAGCCCTGGTATAGGATCCCGATTATAATCATTATTCAGGGAGAGTTGTTTCTGGATCAGGGGTCTACATTCAGCATTTAGGATTCTCAGGGGTCTAGATTAGGCATTTAGGATGTAGGGGTCTACATTGTTTCATTGGGTGTTTAGGATTTAGGGCTTATGGGGATTAGTTCTAGTGTGTGCAGTTTCAACGAGTTTAGGCCAAGAGGGGGTTAAGGCTTTAGGTTTAGAGTTCACGGTTGTGGGATGGCGGATCAAACTAGTCGTGTCATACCGGTACCTGTTGTCATTATTTACGAGTAAGTAACATTGATGTTGTCGTCAAGTTTACGAGAATTGTGGCTGAGGATAGCACACTCTCAGCCTGCGGTGTTACACAAGATGGTATCGCATGATACGACTTAGGCAAAATCGCGTTATTTACGTGGGAGTTTCAGGAAACATGGCACACCAGTATAGAGTCTACCCTTTAGACCCCAACTAGTAACTAGTAGGATGCTTCGTGACCCCTTGCATGACTCATCCCTTCAACTTCAAGAGACTGATCGCTCCCATGAAGCTTCCACCCCCCCCCCCGCCACTTTCAATGAATAGCTAAACCGTGCACAACTCCAAATCCGAAACCTAACCTGAAGTTTTGCACCTCCACCGAACTACTGGCTTAAACCCAAATTGCTGTACGGGATAGGCATGCTGAGGCTGGCAGGTGGATGGCGGGACGTTAATTAACACATATAAACTCTATAAACCCTAAACCCTCACTTCGCCAAGCCTGGTAGTCACGCTTTATCGACCCGAGGGTTGGGGTTATCCATGATCCCTAGAACCCTGAACTCGGTTCTCCTACAACCAATCCAGCAGCTCCACAAATCACTCCGATAGCCGAGAACCCCATCACTATATTGGTGGGTGTCAAACTTAGGGTCCCTTTTTTGGTACACGAACTAGTAGGTGCCGTATTATAATAAGGACTCAAATAGGGACCCTAATATTGACAACCTAATAGTACTATCTTTTGCGATTCCGCATTACATCAATGCTTCAACTTACCCCCCAAGCCCCAGTCCAATTACTGGGGCCTCTAACCCTAAACCCCAATGGAACGCTTACAGTATCCGGCCGTGTAAAGGAGCCCTAATGTCGGGGCCAATACTATTTCGGCGTTCCAGATTCTAATTGTTAGCCAAACATACCCCCAAGCCCTATTCTAATCATTAAGGCCCCCATACTCTAGCACCCTTATGGACCCCTTATAGTAACACCTATAGACCCTTTAAAAATTAACCAGAAGTCCAATTAATTAAGGCTCCGCATTTCCCAGAGACTCCTATATCCCTTCATTAAGGAATATACACCTTAAATCATATCCGGGTTCATATTAGAATTTCAGATATATTCCTCAGTTAAGGCTCCAAACCCTAAACCCTAAACCCTTTATCAGGACTGTCTGGAGCAGCGCAAGTCGACACCGGATGGCTTCCTTTGTGGTTCGGGACCTGGAAGGGCCTTTAAGGGCGCTCCGGAGGATGGGTTTTAGGGTTTAGGGGTCAGATCTTAGGGTTTAGGGGTTAGGTTTTAGGGTTGAGGGTTTAGGGTTTAGGGGTTTAGGGTTTTAGGGTATACCTGGACCCCCCCACATATCATGCAGAATACTATCTTTTTATAGGTGCTGGGTCAATCTTTTGCATAGTTTTGGGGGTTTGGGTAGAACTAAAGGGTTAGATTTATGGGTCTTATATACAGGGCTCCATCAGGGTTCTATAGGCTATATGTGTCCTTTTGGGTGTCAGGGTTTAATGTGTCGGGGTATAGAGCTTCGGGCTTAAGGGAATTATAGGGGTTGTTAGGGGTTTTAGGGCTTAGGCAAAGGGGTTCCACCATAATTGGGGGGTTGGGATTTGCGCATATCCGGTTTAGGACTTTGAGTATACACGTTTGCCATTCAAGCTCCTGGCTTTCCGTTCGCCTGAGCTGCACCCCGGAACCCCAAATCCGGATCCCCACAGCTTAGGGTGTAAGGGTTTAGGGTATAGGGTTGAGGGGGCTCAATCCCGACCCTCAACTCACTCTGCCAGTAGTTCCCTTCTCTGGTCACCTGTTTTCTTTTATGGGATTCTGAGCAAATTGACTGGCCAACACTCCACAAAAGAAAACTGCAATGCACTGGCAATGTCAAGGAAGAACAGCTAAACCCTAAGCTCTGGCCCCTAGTGCACTTAGAAAGTTTTCTGATAACGTAGACCCAAATCCTACACCCGAAAGCTCTGAGCCTCCTAAACCTGTAAACTTCGAAGTTCATGCCCCCAGTTTAACCCTTCTGAGCCCCTAAACCCTAAGCCCTAAAACCCTAAACCCCAACCCCCCCCCAAAAAAAAAATAAATCCTAAAGCCTAAAGCCCCTTTGAAGCTCCTTTGTGGCGAGGCCAAGCTCTGAAATTTATTGACCTGATCCTGGGCCAGATTTGAGCTCTCCGGGGGTGCTTTGGGCATGCGTCCCGTGGCGATTACTAGTTCGAGTTTCCGAGGTTAGGGTTTAGGGTTGATGGTATAAATCCGCAATAAGGAATTCGGACTATGCCATAATCCCCGGAGTTTAGGGTCCGTAAGGTAATGCAGGACTTATGTCATCAACTGTAGTTCGATTTTCCGAGGTTAGGGCTTATGTTTAGGGTTCAGGGTGTTTAGATGTTTTGGGATGTGGTGGTTTCCAGGGTTGGCTGTACAGGCTTCAGGGTTTAGCACCTATTCCTTCATTAGGGGATACTGGAGTCTCTGGGGGCTTGAGTAAGGTTTTTTTGGGCTTCTTTACGGGTTCCTCTAGTGAATCTGTAAGGGTTCAGGGTTTAGGGGATCTATCTATAAGGGCTTGTGTCGTAGGGTTGGTATGAACAGGAACCCCGCTCTACAGATCGTTTTGCTATGGCTTGTTTTTGGAAAGGCGGCATGTTTGTTTGGTATAGTTCCTGAGTAGGTGTGCCTCCCCGTAAACAGAAGTGAAGTGATCATACATGCTACTGTTGCTAGCGTTTCTTAGTGGCTCCCCAGGGGGGTGTCACCTTCTCGGAGATCCCTCAGAAAATATGGAATACACGGAAACCTCGTCAACGCTCTCTCTCTCTCTCTCTCGCCTTCTATTTGTTTGTGTCTATATATATATATATATATATATGTCTATCAATCTATCACTCTATCTTTCCACCTGCTTATCTATCTATCTATCTATCTATCTATATCTATTTATCTATCAATCTCCGTGTAGCAGCTCCAGTGCCTTAGCAGGGCATCCTGTCATGGGGCTTGAGCTCCTATTGTGTCGTTAGGTAAATTTGTAAGGTCCACGCGTTCCTCCAAGCGATAGTAGTGCTCGTTGCTCAGGAGCGGGTTATTGGGACGTTACAAAGATTGTGTAGTTCAACATTACGAAGATTGTGTAGTTCAGTTCTCAGTTATGGTCGGGTTGTACGCTTGAAGGTTTAAAGGACGCCTGAACAGCACAGACCGGATAGCTTGAGTAGTTTGTAGTGTTCGCACACGCAGAAAAGCTGTGTGCTAGAGCACGGATCAGCAAGATGCGAGTACTGCAAGTACTTGTTATGTCTTCGGCTCGTTCACGGGAGGCCCAGCCTGGCCCGAGCCCTCAAATGCTAAATGTAGGGTTTAGGGTTTAGGGTTTAGGGTTCAGGGTTTAGGGTTTAGGGTTCAGGGTTTAGGGTTTAGGAATCTGATTATTTCGGGTTTGAGGTTTTGGGTTTTGGCTTAGCCTGGAACCAAGGTCTCAACAGCTTGTTTTTGCCGTGGTTTTAGCGTGACGATGTTCTGTTCCTCGAGACCCCAAACCCCAAACCATAGTCAGTAAGCGCGTACAGCCTAAACCCCTAAGCCCTCACCCCTAATCCCTAAGCCCGAAACAAAAAAGGTTGGGCTTCCTAATATTTTCGGTTTGGCTGCAAGTCCACGGTGTAAGACTCACGGCTGAACTCAGCTCGGACAAATCTCGTTAAGGGTCGCCAAGAAGCTACTAGACAGGATTCGATGCGTTCCACAATTGAACCCTGTTGCACTGCTGGTCCAGAAGTCCAAAGACTGCACATCACACCCATACATCCCGCCGAGAAAGGCACAATACCTGATCAAGAAATGTTTCTTCAAATGGAGGAAGAGTTGCAATACTATAGCCCCTAAACCCTCAACCGTCCACGCTTAGCCCTCAACCGTGAAGCCCGCACACCACAAAAACCTGAAACCAAAAAAAGCCCCAGTCGAAGGGAACAGTTTGGCTTGCTGATCTGCTAAAGACCGTCAGCCGCCACGCGAGGTGGAAAAAGCTCCACACCAAACCCAGAACCCTCAAGTTCTAAACCCTCCTAAACCCTAAAAATGCCTGCACTTTCTGAACTCAAGTTCTAACCCCTTCTAAACCCTACAAAAAGCCTGCAATTTCCAAATTCCCATAAGGTTGTGGGTGCTAGGGTCCCAAGCCCCAGCACACCACGCCCTATTCCTCGCAACCCCTACACCCGAAACCAGCAAACCACTGGACCCTTGGTTAAGCGTCCGGTTCGGGCTGTAGCCATGCTTGGAGGGTCGGGGGACTTAGTAACTGCTTAATTTGGGGACTTAATTATAAGTACCATAAGCCGAATTAGGGTCCCTTTTAGGGTACTTATAAGTCTACTTACTAAGTCCCCCGACCCTCCAAGTGAAGCTTTACTCTGAAAAGAAGCCATGCAGCGACCACTTAGACTCTGGACTCTGGAGCCCTGCAAAAATTCCGTTAGAGAGCCCTCACAGTACGCCGTATAGAACCGTAAAAGTTACCCTAGCTACCCTAAACGGACCCAAAAGCATCCCTGTCCTTAAAAACAGATAAGTAGATGAGTAAATGAAGAAAAATAGAGATGTTTTTGATATATACACACACAAAGAACCTTAAAAGCAGCTCCCCAAGAACCTTAAATGCAGCCCCTAAAGAAGGGGCGCCAGCAGTTTAAGTTTGATGTCTTGTTGGATGTTGCGCCTTAGCGGTTTAGGGGTCTAGGGGTGTAGGGCATAGTTCAGGGCGGAGGGTTTGACTTTCCCGGGCACGTTTGGAAGCTTGGAGTCACAAGTGGCTTACTTGGAGGTTCATGGATAGTTATAAGCAGGGTTATAAGCCTCCTAATGTGGGTTAAAGCTATAGCTACCCTACTTATAACCCCACTTACAACTACCCAAGAACCTCCAAGTAGGGGCTTAAGAGCCTGGGGCCTGCGCGTTGGTGAGGCTGACGTAGGAACCTGATTAAGAAACCTCGGGCCTTTTATTAGGGTTCCTGATATGAATCCTACTGTTTTGGGGTTGCAGGCCAGGGGTTTCTTGATCAGGTTCCTACGTTCGTGTTTTCAGAGTTTTTCTCCAGTGTGTATAGGGGAAACATGGCATTTGCCCTGCCACCCCAGACCCTTCCCCAGAGACTCCAAAACCCCTTAATTAACGAATATTCCTTAAATCATATTAGGGATCCTATTATAATTTAAGGTATATTCCTTAGTTAAGGGACATTGGAGTCTCTGGGTCTAAACCTTGAATTTGTATTGAAGGCTCTGAAGCCTGACCGGTTTAGGGTATAGGGTTTAGGGTTTAGAGTTTAGGGTTTAGGGTTTAGAGTTTAGGGGTTAGGGTTTAGAGTTTAGGGTTTAGGGTTTAGGGTAACGGTTTAGGGTTTAGGGTTTAGACCCTCAACCTTATTAAACCCTACCTTAACCCCAAGTAGCTGTTTCAAGGTTTATGAATGGAAACTCTAATAAGGAACTCTCCGAAGGCAGGTTTGATATATGGTGATTCTGGTGTCAAACTCTGCTGTATAGTTCAGCCTCTTCCTAATTACGCTATACTGTATACCTAGACCCCCAAAAGTAGGTAAAATTATGGTCCACAACCCATAAAAAGATATTATTATTATTATTATTATTATTACTATTATTATTATTATTACGATTATTATTATTATTACTACTATTATTATTATTATATGTATTATTCTACATACTTTTGGGGTCCAGGTACTGATGTGAAGGGTGTTCCGTGGTCTCTGCGCAGACTTGGGAGGCCCTACCGGCGGAGACAACAAGACCAAGTCCGGCTCACAGTTGAGGGTTTAGACCGCTTAGAGCCTGCAAGAACAGGGTTTTGCGTCTTTTTTTGAGGGCCTTTTTGCAACTGCACTAGTCTCTAGCCAAGGGGTTTAGGGACCTTGCAACAAGACCAAGCCCCGGCCCTCAGTTGAGGGTTGAGTTGGGGTTTTAGGGTGTTCCAAGGGTCAAGGGTCAAACAAAAAACCCTGAATAAGGGGCTATTATATACCCGTTATATAGCCCATTACAGTTCCTTTAAGGGATCTATAGGGATTATATACGGGTAGAGGGTTTAGGGCCTTGCTTGAACGGTCGGGGGACTTCGTAAGTAGGTAGTAAGTAGACTTATAAGTACCCTAAAAGGGACCCTAATTGGGGTTATGGTAGGAATTTATAAGTCCCTAAAATAACTAAGTCCCCCGACCCTCCAAGTGGGGGTTGGGGTTTGAGGGTGTAGGATTTAGGGTTTAGGGCGTGGTAATTACAAGTCCCTCAAATAACCAATTACTAAGTCCCCCGACCCTCCAAGTGGGGCTTGGGGTTTTAGGGTGTAGGGTTTAGGGTCTATGTAGGGCCTAGGGAGTTTGGTGGATATCTTGCCGGTGTTGGGTAGGACGGAGGACGGGGGTATTGTGCAATTTAGGAGCGAAGGTGGATCTGGGCTTGAAGGTTTAGGGTCAGTTCGGCAAGTTTAGGGTTAGGGGTTTGAGAGTTTTGGCTCGAGAGATAGATCGCCCAGTCTTGGGCGAACTTGAGACAAAGCCACCCCCCCCCCCACCCCCCCCTCCCCCTTCACTGGAAATCAATGTTCCCCCCCCTCCCCCCCCTCCCCCCCAACAGAAACCGCAAGCCCCCCCCCCCCCCTCCCCCTCCCCCCCCCCTTAACCATACAGCCCCCCCCCCCCCCCCCCCCCCCCCCCCCCCCCTGCACCACCGCTGCCAAAGCACCCGATAATGTAAGATGTTGTAATCCCATGCGTGCATGGCGTTCGCCCGTCCGGCCTTGGAACAGGCGCAACTTGCATGCGAACTGATGCCCACGCAGATGTCTCGATCTTTACAAGCGTCATGCACCAAGAAGCCTGAAGCAGTCAGGGCTTCAGTGATTCATGCAGCTTAAGAATCTGTTATCTAGCCTCATCCGTGAAGCGTAGAGTCTTCACGCATAAACAAATTCAACCAACTCCCAGAGCTAGCATGGCCATGGCGACTTCTTTTGCCATGATGGTCTCCGGAGCCACGGCCGCTGCGCTTGGGATCGCAGTATAACCTTGGTCCTAATGATCTTATTGAAGTAATTACACTGTTAGGTAGCCACGAGGCGATGAACCCGCTGACTCTGCAACTGACCAT